CACCGTCTGGTGGGGTCTTGTTTCGGCCAATGAACAGTTAGACTGTTAGGATGAGAGCATGAATTTTGTTTCCTCTTGTCTTCACAAAACTGGGGAACACTATGCTGGAGCCACGGGATGGAGGGAGGAGCATTCCCCAAAATTAAGCTCAGCCTACAACTGCAGAGACTGAAGCACCACCCACTTCTGGATGCTCCTCGCAGCTCGAAGAGAAATGGCATGTCAGGTAAGAACCAATGCCCATTTTGTCCAGTGTATCGCAAAAACAAACTTCAGGATTTTAGATAATTGTGAATTTAGGTAATTAGGAAGTTGTGAAGTAATAGGAGCACCAGTACTTGCTTGCAGAAGAGCAGCAATTCCTCCCAGATTTGAGTTCTCCCAAATCCAAGAACCTGAGCTGGGAGAGGAGTGCCAATACTTGTCTGCGGGGGGCAGAAAGTTCTCCCAGACTGTCTTTTTTGGGGATAATAAATCCTCGCACTGTTTTTCCCTCAGTCCAAAAAACATGGCCAGAGAGTTCCCTTGGAGGGGAATGCACATACTTTGCAAAGGGAACCAAAGTCTCCCCAGACATCTTTTTGTCTGTAAACTGATAGCCAACTGCCTTGACTAAGCCAAAGTGTGAAACCCCACATTGGAAGAGGAAACATGGGAAGTGGTAGTTTGAGGGTCCTGAATGGAACCCCACTGGGAGAGCTATTAGAGGCTTGGGATGAACAGCAGATGATGGTCCTAGCTGGTAGGGAAAAGAAAAAAGAAAAGCTAAAAGGATAAGTAAAAAATGGGCTTTGCTGAGAGATGACACAGGAAGATCAAGTTGGCTAAATAAAGGTACTTAGAGGAAAAGAGTAAGAAAAACAGGAATTGTTGGAAGAAATAGCCTTCTGGGTTCAGTTCCAAGTGGGGAAGAAAGACACTGGAAACATGGTGACTGCTTAATGGTGGACAGGATCACATGCCTTGGAGCTCCTGGGTGAAAAAAGGGCAGAAATGCTGAGAGTCCCTCTGTTGGAATTTGAATTTGAGCTTGTATTCTGATTGGTTGTCAGACTCCCATGGGGCCATGCAAGGGGAACTCTGTAGGCTGTCCTGAGTCCCAGGCTTGATTGAGCCTTGCTGGATGATGATGTAATGAAAGGGCTTTGGGCAATTCCTATTACCGCTCTACCTGGAGTAGATCTTTGCTATGTAAAATAGCCTAGGCCAGAATAATGGTCCATTGGCAAAGTGGGGCGGGGCGGCGCTGAGTTTCTGTCTCTCTGAGTTTCTACTTTTCTTTTTAGGGGAAATATTCTGCCTTTTTAGTATATCCTAAAATATTTCATTTTCCTACGAGAGGGTGGGTTTTAACTTCCAACACCAACAATCAAAAAACCCTGAAAGAAGACAGTGACAAATCATTCATACTATTGCTGAGAAAACTACATAGTTGTTTTCATGATGAAATGTTTGACACAAAGGAAACTTTACTTTTTAAATCCTTGCCTGTCATGCCTAGATTGGAGCAGGAAGGAAGGGATTGCTTGCACCCAGAACATAGTGAAGTAAAGCAAAGCAAGACAGTAGGGAAATAAACACTATTCACCATTTTCATTCTTGACAAAATGAAAAGGCTCAGATTTGCTCTTGTTTTTCAGATAAACCAGTGTAGAACCCCAGAATTATCCACATGTTCACTCCTCAAAACAAACTGGTGTCATCTGGATTGAATTCAACAAATGTATGTGAGAGACCCAGAGTTAAAACCAGGGTGCAAGGAAAGTAGTGTATGCTTAAGCAGCTTGTGCTGATCTATCAGCATGGAAACTGTGAGTTTCTATGGGGACCCCAGTAAAGTCCCCTTTCATTCTGTCTCAAGACTTTCTCTCATCAAAGCTTAACCATTAGTTCTCCAGAGACAGGAGAAGCATTTCTTTCCAGGAACATCTGGTACATATGAAACCATCTGGGTAAGAGCAGTAAAAATAACCTTGATAAGTGGCTGTTAATCCTGTCCCATGGAACTGCCTGGACTTCCAAAGTCTTGACCTTTTGGGGCAAAGTGGAGAAGAGATGATAGGAGTGGTTTGGTACAGTTCCCTATTAATGTGACTGGACAGAATCAGATGGGAAGTAGTTACTATAAAAGGTGCTACAGGGATCTGCATGGAACAGGTACTGAATAGGCTGACAAGGCAGGATTGACTGTTTAATCAACAAAATAGGAAGAAATACATGGAAAAGAGGCACATATGCTCCAGCTCCAGAGTTGCAGGTAAGGATCTGCTGTAGAGACACTTAGATTGTTATTTCTAATAATTGCAAAGCCTACAGTCCAATGGTGCAATTGACTGAAAGTTCCTATGGCTCTTTTTTGCTTATTCTCTTGCATCAACGGCATTTGTTGCAACTTAAAAGGAATATGTAGAACTCTTGGGGGTGAGGAGGAATCCATTGTCGTGCTTTGTGGAGAATGCAAAAGTTCTTTATATTATTCCCCTCCATCTGCTATCAGTGCTTTGAAATGTTAGAAGTAAAACCTCTCTGCCTATAAAACACATTCTCTATCTTAAAAGTATTTTTTTCCAATTTTGATAGGATTGGTTACAGTTGCTTTTTGAGAAAATGGTATTTATATGTCAGCAGAAGCATTCAGTACTTAATAACTTAAGTGTATGTACTCCAGCATTTACCATAACTTTTCTACGCGCCTGGGCCAGCATTCTGGGTCTTGTGTTATTTTGCTATTTGATAAAACTGAAGGGTTGTCCTTCAGTATGTACACAGTCTAGAATTTGCTTTATCTGCTTATGTAAACACAGGGATGTAGTTATTTCTGAAGTTTTGCCAGAAAGAATTATGTTCTCCTGTTGGAATATATGTTGCTTCAAAACAAGTAAGGAACAGTGAAAATAAATAGAAAGTAATGTTATATTTGAGGACAAAACACCCATGATCACCTTAAGAGTGTGTCTGCAGTGAAATCATTATTTTTTATGCAGTTATTCTATTTGAATCTGCATGGATTGGAGAATCAGGTTTAAATCCCATGGCATTACATTCACTGTATAATTTTGGGCTAATTTCAGTGTAATCTATTTCATAGGGCTGGTGTGAGAAAAAATGCAAACAAAAGTTAAAGAATATAGCCTTAAATTGCTGGTGTCAGGGAGACAGAAGTGTTCTAAATATATGATCTTCCAGAGCTGCAAATCTGATTTATATCATAACATCTTGCTGAACAGTAAGTGAAGTTTCGAGCACATTTTAATTCCTGATGTAACATTTAGAGCATGGCAAAATTTCCCCTGGAATTTGATAAGTTATTCCCTGATAACTAGCATTTTTCATTCATTGTCCATATTGCTGTGTGTGTTGGGGTGGGGATGGGAGGAATAGCAACCAGGTACACATTAGCTTAAGGTGACAATTATGACTAGAGTTCTTTTCTTAAGTAATCATAATGTGCTATGATTACATTGGATTGCAGTTACATTGCTTGAATAGCAGTGCAAGCAGTCCCAGTGGCTGTCATTAACCAAATCCCATGGTTGTTAGGCAAGGCAACTTCCTGCTGGTTTCCCACAACCACCTTAGTGAGGAAAATCAGCAGAAAGTTGCAAGCAGGCCAATAAACAGGAAAGGACTACTGCCAGGTGGGAGAAGGTGCCAGGTGGGTTGGTATAAGGGAGGCACAGCAAGGGTTGATGAGCTGTGCAAGGGTGCACTGGGGTACAAGGAGGTGCAGCAAGAGTTGTAGCAAGGTATTTTGGAATGTGTGAGTGGCCAGCACAGCACAAGTGCTGAGTGGCAGGAGGGTAGTTTAAAGGAGTAGCAATAGCAATAGCAATAGCACTTAGACTTACATATCCCTTCACAGTGCTTTACAGCCCTCCCTAAGCTGTAAAGTTTACAGAGTCGGTATATTGCCCCCAACAATCTGGCTCTTCATTTTACTGACTTCAGAAGGATAGAAGGCTGAGTCAACCCTGAACAGGTAAGATTCAAACTGCCAAACTGGAGGCAGCCAGCAGTCATCAGAAGTAGCCTTCGGTAATTCATTCTAACCACTGCACCACCACGAGTAGAGAAGACTTATTCCAACAACTTGGCTTTCCCACTGACTTTCTGGAGGTGGGGAAGGTTGCAAATGGCAATCATGTGATCATGGGGCAATATGACTGGTGATAAATAAGAGCTGGCTGCCAAGCACCCAGATTACAGTCCTGTGACCGCAAGAGTGCTGAGACAGCTGGAATTCCAGGGATCATTCAAAACCATCATTCATTCAGTGCTGTCATAACTTCAAATGATGACTGAACATATGATCATAAATTGAGGACTATTTATTCAGCTTTTAAACTCAACTGAAGAGCAGACAAGTAAAGGAGTAATCAAATTATCTTCATTAGTTTGCAAGATCCACCATGATTCTTACTAATGCATTCATTCTATTTTTTTAAATGTATGTTTTCTTTAATTCCTATTTTATAGATCATGCACATGCAGCTTAAAATATATGAAGGAGTATAGCAATACTTGACAGCAAGGAATGATTCCCAGCCATGATTTTTGGCAGAATACTATAAACCAAATTATCTGTAAAGCCTCCACTGGCCTTTCTTTTCTTTTTTCCCTCTTTCTTTCTTTCTTTCTTTCTTTCTTTCTTTCTTTCTTTCTTTCTTTCTTTCTTTCTTTCTTTCTTTCTTTTTCTTTTCTTTTCTTTCACTACCCATCTCACCCAGAGATGACTCTAGGCAGTTTACAATAAACTAAAACCAGCAGTACAAAACAGTAATATATTTAAATAAAAATGAATAACAATAAGACTAAAAGATACCTAAGGAAATGGGCAATGGGGTAAAACCAGAATCATCTCTTGATCCATTGGCCGCCTTCAGTACAATACACCCCCATAAGGGCCCAAGCCAATTAGCAAAGTTGAGGGTTAAGGCCCCTACAGAAAGCCAAGTGGGTGGCTGTGCAGAACTATGATCTTACAACAAGCTTCTATAGGGATAAAACTACCAAGCATCTTACGTACTTAATTCTATAATACTGTAATTCCATTTTTGTTTTGTGTCCTGCAACTTTTGACTGTCAAAATCTTTCAAAGGCACTCCGTGGCTTCCAAAGGTAGCCAGCTGTGAAAGGGAAAATGTTTATTTCTTTTGTGAGATTTATACCACATTCTTTCTCCAAATGAAAACCAAGGACTCAAAGGAATAATAAAAATGATATTTTGTCTTAGTAGGACAAACTTCAAGAAAGCCTCATACAAATAAGGTGCTACTTATCTAATGATGGCTTCTATGTTCACCTCAAGCCTTCTCTATGTGTATCTATGTTTCTCTTTCCCTGCAGTCATGAAACTAATCCCTGGTGACATTGGAAAACGACTTGAGGAAATGGTGCAGCTGACAGCTCAGAACCTACCTCAGGTGGAGGTGACCAGTAGTTACACCATCCTCCGAGAGCTGGGCAGTGGTGCCTTTGGGCATGTAGTGATGGCAGTTCACCATCGCCAAGGTAAGTCTGGATTCAGAAGGCAAAAGAAGAAATAGGGAAGGCTATGAATCAAAATAATTAGTAAAGTTTGTGCACATCTGGAAAATGTTTTCAAGCAAAACAAAAGTGCCTTGGATTTTGCAAGAATTCAGCCATTGCTAATCCCTTGAATCAGTGCAGACTCAGAAATATGAGTATGGATACTAATTTTATCTTTATTTTAAAGCTATATTAAAAGAATCTTGCAAGAGTGCAACTGTTCTGTTAATATCTTGGAAAAATATGTTGAGAGTCTAGAAAGAGTGCAAAGAAGAACAAAGATTATTCGGGGGCTGGAGGCTAAAACATATGAATGGTTGCTGGAACTGGATATGTCTAATTTAATGAAGAGAAGTACTAGGGGCTGACATGATAGCAGTGTTCCAATACTATATCTAGGGGGCTGCCACAAAGAAGGGGGGGGGGTGTCAACCTATTATCCAAAGCACCCAAAGACAGAACAAGAAACAATTAATTGAGGAGAGAAGCAACTTAGAAATAAGGTGAAATTTTCTGACAACTAGAACAATTAATCAGCGGAACAACTTACCTCCAGAAGGTGTGGGTAGTCTAACACTGGAGGTTTTTAAGAAGAGATTGGACATCAGTTTGTCCGAAATGGTATAGGGTTGAGCAGGGGGTTGGACTAGAAGATCCCCAAGCTCCGTTCCAACGTTGTTATTCTGTTAAGACTGAAATGACTTCTCACATCCTCTCCTTTTACTCTCCAGAAAACTAGGGAGGGTCCCTTCTGAAATGCTTCTCAGTCCTTCTGTGGACTAAGATACCTTTTACATGTCAGTTATCCAGTCTGCAACTCTTCTTCCTCTCTCCCAAGGTCATTTCCACATACTATTATCATTTTTTCTTAGCCTAGCCTATCTTACACATTTGTTATGGGAATAAAATGAAGGAATAACATCAAATGAATACCTACCTCCATGTCAAACTAGTTCAAACTAGAATGAGAAGTTAGAACATGGATTTCTTCTCCTTTTCATGAACCAAGCTCTCTTCTCTTTCAGGAACCCCCATGGCACTGAAATTTGTACATAAAAAAGATACAGAACTACAGGATTTCCTTAGTGAATATTGCATTGCACTGACTTTGCGGGCGCACCCCTGCATTGCCACTGCCCTTGGGATTGCCTTCCAAACTCCCCAACACTATGTCTTTGCACAAGAATTGGCATTGGCTCGTGACCTCTTCTCTCTCATGGTGCCAAAGGTAAGTACCTACAACAAATAATTTACAGTAGTACCTAAACAGATGAGATGACAAATAGTGAAACATGCAGAAATCATCCTTCAACACACATAATCCATCATCAAGATATTTCAAAAAAGAAAAAGGCTGCTACCAAAGTTACTTTGTAATGCAAGTGATGATAGGGAGATTCAAGCTCACACTCAGCCATTGGAATTCCAATTGATGTCTTCGCAATTTTCTCAATTGAGGGTCTTTGTGGGGATGAATTTTAGTAGTACTAGGCATGACATCCCGAGCTTTCCCAGGACTGTGGTCTTGAGACAGCAGGAAAGAGAGAGAAAGATGGGGGGGGGGGGGAGGAAGAGGAAGGGAGAAAGACAGAGACAGAGAACGGAGAAGGGGAGGGGGAAGGAGAGGGAGAAAGAGAGGTGGAGGGAGGGAAGGAGAGAGAGAGAGATGGATTTCCTATTAAGGATATGGACAGTACTTTCGTTGCTCTCCCTAACACTGGAATTATTCCTGTTAATTTAGAAATTTTATATATCATCTTCCTTCTATTACCCAAGGCTATCTAATCTATATAATGAACTTTCAGCCTATATAAACCATGTATAAACCATGCTTTTAGTGATGAGATTGAATTCAAATTTGCTTTTTTGGATTGCAACATTCCAGCTGGTTGATTTATTCCTTATGTGCACTTATTTATTATTATACATGTATTCCTTATATGTACTCATGGGTAGAAGAAATATTTTGAGACAAAAAGCATGTCTTTAACTGTTGCACACATTCCTGTTGTAGAGGACAGTTGCTCAGAAAAAGTACTTCCTACTGTGAGAGAAGGGAAAGTACTTCTTTGAAGATAGTATGAACTGTTTATTAAAAAAAAGTTCTAATTATTATATTTTGAAAATATATAACTAGAAAGAGATATGAACTATCTTCTATACTAGCTTTTGGATGCCAGACACTGTTTGCATTACGTGATAAACACTGAATACAACCCAAGCTTATGCCGGTTTCCTCTTCTTGTTTATGTCTCAAGTTACTTCTTGGAAAGCTGCCTGAAATGTGAGTGCTTTTAAAAGACTTCGTGTTCCCTTTGCTGGCCTTACAGATCAAATTGATAAATCAGCTGTAAGCTGTTAAAAAGAACCACCACATATTTAAAAAGTACCTTAAGATCATGAAGAATTCTATTTTAATTATCCTTTAAGAGTTCAAAAGGACCAAGTAATGGATCCAGATATTTCTCCTCATTTCTAGGACAACTGTGAGGCTGCGGCTTACAAATGTTATCTTATATTTCCAGGTTGGCATACCTGAGCAACAGATAAAACGCTGTACCCTGCAGCTTGCAAGTGCCCTGGAGTACATGGAATCCAAAGGGCTAATCCATCGAGATGTCAAACCAGAAAATGTACTGCTTTGTGACCCTGAATGCCGGCGCATCAAGCTGACTGATTTTGGGCTGAGCTGCCTGAGGGGCCAAGCCATTAAGGCCTTGCCTGAAAGTTTGCCTTATACTGCACCTGAAATGTGTGTCCTGGGCCCCAAAGCTCATCTGGAAGCCCAGCCCAGCCTTGACACCTGGGCTCTTGGAGTTCTGTTATTCTGTGTGCTAACTGGCTACTTCCCCTGGCTTACAGCTGTGCCTTCTGATCAGTATTATCGCAGCTTTGTCTCCTGGCATCGTAGCCCCCGTTTTGTTTCACTTCCAGCCCATTGGGAACATTTCACTCCCCAAGCATTAGAAATGTTGAAAGGGCTCCTGACACCCAACCCAGCACTCCGTAGCCCTGCCAAGGTGATTATGAATTACATCAAAACACCTTGGTTGCTACCGGAAATAAAGAGTCGTGTCCGACCCAGCAGAGAACTTCTTGGCACTACTCGGCGATGCTAAAGACCAAGAGTATTGCAAGGAGAAACAAGAGGTTCTGAAATGTCACCTTAGCTTTGAAAGGACCAAAAATACCATCACCTAATGAAGACATTTTGTTTGGTAAAAATCAGTCAATCCAGAGAAACAGACAAAAGATGACTGGGAAACAAAACAAGCTGCTTACTGAGCAAGGAAAGAGAAACCGATTCAAGGAAAACTTATGTGAATTAATCTTGGAAGTATTGCTTTCCAATCTCCTGTCTCTGTTCTAGATCAGTCTCTGTCTCTGTTCAAAAGATTTGAGTTGTCTTTCTGTAAGGACCTGCTTCAGGTAGTCCTTCAGGAAAGGAAATCGCTTGAATGCACTAAATTGAATCGAAAGAACTTTTACTGAGAGAAAGTTATTGCAGGGAAGCAAGGTGAAATCTGAAAAAGTCCACATGATGCAAACAGCATTTTTTTGTTTCCCCAAATCTAACCCCCCTGATCAATCTATCGGCAGCCAATGTGATGCCACAAGGTTGTGATGGAAACTCTGAAGTGATAGGAAGATAACAGGTCACCCTCAGAGCAAGACAGCCTTAAAGTCAGGCTGGGAGGTAATCTGCTCCATCTCTGAAGACAGTCTCCCTCCCTAATACTCAGTTACAGTCAAAGCATGTGAAAATGCCAGCGAGCCTCCTCCCCACTCCTTCCAACAGAATGGCAGGACAGGATGGTGGACCTGACACTTTCCTTAATCAAGAATTATCCCTCAAATTCTTAATGCTTCTTGAAAGGAACCAAGTGAAAAAGTCTCACAGCTTCCTTCCTTCATTCTGGATGAGATAAAATGGAGACAGTTTATAATTTCCTATGTGTGATGATGACCTGGAACATGGCACAGAGGCGAGAGTCAGCTGACAGTTCAAACTGCCCCTTTATTGTTCAAAATGTTCCCCAAATGCTCCCACATTTGTGACAAGTCCCAGAGCAAAGTGATAACACACACACACCACTCCAGCAGCCTTTGGCTGCAAGTCTAGCACAATGCTTTGAGCACAATGGCTGCAAAACAAGAAATCCAGCAAAGCAAGGGAATAAGTCAGTTAGTCCAGGAAGCAAAGGAACAAAGCAATTAATCCAGGAAGCAGAAGAACAAGAAGTCCAGGAAACATCCAACATTGGCAATGGCACACAATATTCAGTGTTTGTTTCTGACAAATGCCCCCCCCCCACAGCGTCTCCTTAAATCTCAATCCCCACATGGAGTGGGGTAGGCGCTCTCCTCCAGAGTAGTTGGGTAAGCCTGCACTGTTCCTACTTTCTCTCTACTCTCCATGCTTGAGGATCAGGAGGGGGTGGTCCTTGCTCATTGCCTGAACTCTGTCTCTCATGTTCACTGCTTAGCCTCTCTTGGTCATCCTGCCCCCATTCTTCCCTGCATACAAGGTGTCCCAATCCTGAAAGGCCCTAGCCTGACTTGGCCTGCTCCTCTCCATGTTCCTCTGACACCCACAAAGCTGCCCCTTTGATCTCCATCTGCTCCAGTTCTGGCTCATCTTCTTCCGCAGATTCAGGCTCTGAGGGGGCATGACACTATGAATGAATGAGGTAAAAATTAGTGACCCCCTTTCCTAAAACAGCAGTCAAATGCAAGAAATTTATTTGATATTGTTGTGAAGCATGGAGTCATTTTTCTAAATTACCCAAGAAACTTGGATATAAAGATGATAAATGAACAGTTATATAGCTCTTTGTCAGCTCTGCTGAGGCTTATCTAACTAAAGGATGGCAAAGTGAGGTTTTATTGCAAAAAGTCCTGTGATTTTTATGTGGTAAAATTGTCTAGAATTTCTGAGAGCATAAAACTGGGGTTCTGAAATTGATGCTGTTGTGATTCCAGCACTGTATGTATATAACTGATTTAATGCTATAATATTCACTTAAGTGTACAGTTGTAAATAAAGTGTATAGATTTATATCGTAAACAAGGTATTGGTGCTTATATTCTTTTCAGGTTCTACTGCCATTTTATTTTAAAGAAAGATTATCTCGGTTTGAAGCCAAGAGATAATATTAAACTAAATCTGAATCAAAATATAAAAGCTCAGCTTTTCCCCCGATTTCCAAGCTACAAAATGCTTTCATTCCCCTCCTCTCACATTTTTTTAGTTCTCTTTTGTTTGGCCTTGTTGCTAATTATTACAGTTCTTTTTTTGTCATTTTGTCAGTCTTTTCCCAAAATCTTTTTATGGCTTACCACTTTTTAAAATCCTTGGTTCTTTTCTTAGTTTTCTTAACCACACAATTGGCAGAAGGCAGTAATACAAATAGTCTTCACTTAACAACCATTTGTTTAGCAACCATCCAAGATTACAACTGATAAAAATAACTGGTTCTCCCACTTAACACTCCCACAGCATCTCTATGGTCACATAATTACAATTTGGGCAATTGGCAGCCATCACACATTTACAATGGCTGCAGCATTCTGCAGTCAGGTCTCCGATTTGGCGTCTTTCCAAGCAACTTCTGACAAGACAGTCAATAGGAAAGTCACAAACCACAGTTTACCAAGGATAGTTATTAAGGGTGAGTTTTTCTGTCCCCAATGTAGTCTTAAGTCAAGGACTACCTGTAGAATATTATACTAAAATATGCTCTGTCATTTCAGACTGCAAATCACATTTCTTAATGTTTCCCTTCATTATCAATTCCTTATTAACATTCAGCCAGTAATCAAACATAGTCCTCTTTATTTGATATTTTTTATATTAACATTCAGATGTATGATATACTCCTTGTTAGTAATGTGAAGTAAAATTCTTATTTTATCCTCTGAGTATTCCACCACATTCCTGGGGTGTGTGGGGAAGATATACTCAGGCATATCTATCTTCTTTTGGTCTCTCTTTTTATATAGCTTCACAAATATTTGCTTTCCTAAAATCAGAATTAAAGTCATTATTAGTTTTATTGATAGCCATTTTTAGAACATCATTATAGGTGGTTCTTGACTTATAACCACAATTGGGCCTAGAATTACAGTCCTACATTGTTGCAGTTATTAAGTGAGGCATTCATATGATAACCTCACTTAATGACCACAATCTTGGCTCTCCCCATTGTGATTAAGTGACCACATGAGTCGTTATATGAAGTACAGGGTGCCTTGGGGTAGGGACAGGCTATCAAAAAAGCCCCTCATTGCAGGACCTCCCGAGCTCACCTGTGGCCTGTACCTCGCCCCCCATACCAGGGCTTCCCTATCCCTTGAGGCATCACTTGCACAGCTTCCTGCCCCACTGGATCCCACATCCTTGGTCCTCTTCCCTGCATCAACGTGCCTTGCTACACTTACCTTTTCCATAGAACACTTTTCAAAACAACACCCAGGCCATACAATGCTCTACCTTCCTGCAGACTTCATGCCATTCTGAAGGTGGGTGCCATTTGTACAATCTCTCAGAAGGAAGCCCTTCTGTGAACTCACAAGAGTGGCAGCCACTTCTAGAATGGTATAAAGTAGCCACATGTCCTCTTCGAAAATCACCTTTCTAAAAAAGAAGAATTTTTTTTAAAAAAATCTAAAAATAAAATCTAGACAGCATACTAAAAAGGAGTCATCACCCTGCCAACAAAAGTGTGTATAGTCAAGGCTATTGTTTTTTCAGTTGCAATGTATGGCTGTGAAAGTTGGACCATAAGAAAGGCTGAGCATCAAAGAATTGAGGCCCTTGAACTATGGTGCTGGAGAAGACTCCTGCAAGTCCCTTGGACTGCAAGGTGATCAAACTGGTCAGTCCTAGAGGAGATCAAACTGACTGCTCTTTAGAAAGCCAGATCATGAAGATGAAACTCCATTACTTTGGCCACCTAACGAGAAGGACTCACTTTAGAAGAGCCCAATGCTAGGAAACATTGAGGGCAATAGAAGGCGATGACAGAGAATGAGGTGGCTGAATGGAGTCACTGAAGCAGTAGGTATGACTTTAAATGGACTCCAGGGATGGTAGAGGACAGGAAGGCCTGTCACTGTTTGTGGGGTTGTGATGGGTCAGACACAACTTCGCAACTAACAACAAAAAAGAGAAGTGGTCAATGTGCCATGTGGTTTTCTTTTGGAGAAGCCACTTTATATCATTCCAGAAATGGGTGCCAATTTGGAAATGGTCATAATTCTATGGTTCAAAATGGTCCCTGCTTCTAGGATGGTACAAGGCAGTTTCTGTACAGGAAAGCTATGTGGTACATGGACTCATCCTCTTTCAGAGGTGATCTTCAGAAGTATGTGGAGCAAAGCAGGTAGGAAGCCCAAGGGTGTGGGACCCAGCAATTCCTATATTGTAGCTCTAAAATGGTTGGTTGGTTGGTTGGTCGGTAGGTAGGTAGGTAGGTTGGATGGATGGATGGATATATAGATAGATAGAAAGTTGAACTGCTGAAGGGTGAGAGGAAGAGGCATTGTCTAGTACATGAAAACAATGTGTCATAGTCTCAATTAATTCTGCCCGTCGACTAAATGAACCAACTTTGACCTTTTCCAACCAAGTCTTTTAACTCAGCCTGTAAATACAAAATGCACTATCTCTAAAATCCTTGAAGTCTCTTGTGAAAACATATACCTGATTGTTTTTAAGAGAGCTGGGTTAAGAGCTGAGATGTGAGATATTGTGCAGAGGCTGGAAAAGAATAGATTGCCTTCTAAATGGTAATTCAGCCCAAGTGGGAGATATCTGCCAAAAAATAATTTCAAAGAGAAACCTTAATTCACTAGTGTATTTTTCATGATTCAACATTTACTCCAGAGCCACATTAAAGATATCTTACAGAAATCTGTGTCAATCTAGCTTCTTTGGTTTGATCATGCTGGTTTTCTTGAACTTTAATGATGCAGAAAGAAAGAGCAAAAGGAGAAGGAATAATAATTCAATACTAGACAAAGTAAAGCTAAAGCTAAAGCCTAGATAATTGGAGCATATAATTTAAGGGTAAGAGCAACTGAGAAGACCCTGATGCTTGGCAATAAAAAAAGCCAAGAAAAGGTGACTAAGTACAACAATTGATAATACAAGTATGAGTTTCAAGAACTTGGAAAAGCAATTTCTGCCAGGAAAGTCCTGGCCTTGTATCAAAAGTCAGTGGTGACTGAACAGTTGAAAAACAACACTGCATACACATGCTCACTTCAAAATGAAGGATAAAGGACAAATCGGAAGTTAGCCTGAATATCTTTAGAGGCAAACTCCTGTTTATTAATCAAGATGTGCAAATAAATTCTGACTACTTTGCAAGCATTTTTCTTATGGCTGATACCTCAAAGTGGCAAAGCTAAACCCTTTTTGTGATTTTCTTTTTCCACATATTTCATATGCAAATACATCTCAAATGTTCTAAAAGATATTCTTGGCTAATACTGGCTGGCAGTCTCCTAGGGAAAAAGTAACATAAAGAGTTATTCGTTTGTCAGCCCCCATAATTATTAGTGTCAGCAAAGCTTGGAAACTTATGCTCAAAACAAAATCTACTACTAATACATTTATATGGCCAGGTTAGGGGATTTTGTTGTTATTACTAAGACAGTGGTAGTTTTCTCTTTTAGCTTTTGCACAGAAATTAATGTAAGTAATTTTGAATTTAAGATAACCAGATTATCTAGGGCAAAAAAGAATCTGCCCATTGTTGGTATTAAAGGGTGCCTTGATACTTGTTTTGAAGTTGGTTGGGGTAGCCAGGAAAAGAAAGTATAGGCCCATGTCTTACAATTAAGCAAAAGATTGAACAAGTTTTGAAGTCAAGTGATAATAATTTTGTTGACGAGGACTGAATGTGCTATGCTGCATGCCAATCTTGCTGAATTTTAGGCAGATGGTGAAGAAGTCTAATCCTCTGCCTGTAAACTCCTTTGAAAATTGATAGTTCAGGTGTGAAAAGCCAATGAGTGATGAAGACACGACCTCAATGTTGTCAGAAACATGGGTGGGCATGTTTCAAGATTCCTACACTATAAGAATCTTTTGGCATAGACCTACTCTTCTGATACACACTACAGAAGTACTCAATATTATGTAACCTAGAAACAAATACATTGATTTCTTATTTCAACTAATTTCAGCAAGGACAGAAATCTCCCCTAACCCTGATAACTTATTCCAGACAAGAGAGCATGATGTGCTCTCAATAACACAATTGCCTTTGGTACAGCAGTCACATGGGTTTGTTAAAAAGCAGATCATGCCAAACCAATCTTATTTCATTTTTCAACAGTGACTAAATTAGTAAACCAGCAAAATACTGTGGACATAATATAGACTTCAGCACCCTAATCCTAACCCTTAATAGCAGTAACTGTGAGAGTGATCTTGGAGTTATAGTGGACAACCAATTAAATATGAGTGTGTGGCGGCAGCCAAAAAAGCCAATGCAATCCTAAATTGCATTAACAGAGAGACATAATAAAGATCAAGTGAGGTACTAATACCACTCTATAAGGCCTTAGTAAGACCACCCTTAGAGCATTGCATCGTTTTGGTCACCTCACTATAAACAAGATGTTGAGACTCTAAGATTGCAGAGAAGAGCAACCAAGATAATTAGGGGGCTGAAGGCTAAAACACATGATGAACGGCTGCAGAAACTGGGCATGGCTAGTCTAGTGAAGAGAAGGAACAGGGGAGATATGATAGCAGCAATATTTGAGGACCTGCCACGGGGGTGGGTGGGGGGTGGGGGTGTTTCAAGCTATTTCCCAAAGCACCTGAAGGCCAGATAAGGAATAATGGATGGAAGCTGAACAAGGAGAGATTCAACCTGGAAATAAAGATAAATTTTCTGACGATGAGACCAATCAACCAAATGGAACAGCTTGCCCTCAGAGGTTGTGGGAGCTTCATCACTGGAAGTTTTCAAGAAGAAACTGGACTGCCATCTGTCAAAAATGGTGTACGGTCTGGTTGTGGGGGGGGGGGAATAGACTAGATGACCTACAAGGTCTTTTCCAACTCTTGTTAATCTGTATCTGTAATCTGTATCTGCTACTGTTATACGACCAAAGTCAAATGCTCTCAGCACATCCTATGAAATCATGACAAATGTAGTTTACAACCAATGGCAGCCTGCCATAATTATTGCATCATAGTTATCTGATAGTTGGGGCAGACTTCAGGGACTGTTGCTCTCCTGGAGTCAGGTCATGACCACACATACCCTTATGTTCTTAGGACAACATATCCTTCCCTGCAACTCTTTCCAGAACTTTTTGATCTCTTCTCAACTTTGTTTTGTGTCTCATAACATAGGTATCACCTAAATGGATGCAGCGATGCTTAGTTCTTCAGGGGAAATCTGAAATCAAACCCCATGCTCATTTCCCCAATCTAATAAGTGTTATTAGAATGTATCCATCTTGACTGGATGTCTGAAGTCTCAATACATTTCACAACAGTCAACATTAACATTACAGTACAGAAAAAGTGTCCATAAAGTTAATCCAAGGTATAATATATCCTGCTTTGCTAACTGAACTTACCCTGGACTGATGCCAATGGACTAACCTTTCTAATTTGATAAAGGATTTGTCCTGAACCATAATGCATTTGTAATGATGAGAACTTGGAAGAAAAGACTTTTAATCAATAACAATAAACAATAACTCAGCTGCAGCAACATGGGATGCTTGATGTGGAATAAGCAGAAAGGTCAACTATCACTAACTTATTTTTAAAAAAGTTGTACAAAGAAAATCAGATACTCCAGGCACTGAGAAGATAGCTTATCTTCAAATATCCAAAACTCTTGTTGGTGTTCTGATTAGAAAGTCTATTGGTGACATCATAATGTAGGAGTTAGGGAAAGACTGTTGAGAATGAGATCACAAACTAACACATGGTATCTCAAAACTCTGCAAATGTTTGTTTTTAATCTTTCCTACAACACTTTTCAGTCAACACTATAAGCCAAAGATAAAGTTATGTCTCTGAGTACGTGATATCCTGTAACCTTAGCAGTAATTATTTTATTATCAGCAAAGTTTGTAACTGATGCACACTGCTTTAAAGAGGACATGCCAGACTTCTTCCCCATGTTATAATTGGTTTCCCAGGCCAGGGTAATTTGGAACTCTATGTGAATTTGAGCACATGTTGCCTTGGGATGTCTGAGTTTCTATAATAGTGTTGAAACATTTCCAGTTACTTAGTAGAGAATCATCAGAGCTCACAAAAAAGTTTAGAAAAAGCCGACTGGCATGGTATACCTTGAACCTTCAATTCTGTAACAAGGGAGCATGTGCTATGCAGCACAGGCTGCCCTGAAGACATATATATCTGAAGCTCTCCCTGAATTTTTAAGAATTTAAGTTATATCATCATTGAAGGCATTGAAGAATATCTGAAATAATCACCCAAAGGTTACAGTTCAGTTAACCATTGTTAAGAACACAGGGCAGGAGTGGGTGGAAATATATGACGGTCTTCCAGAGCCATATCATGAGCTGAATTTAGGCTAAAAGTTTCTAGGAATTTTTGAACCAGTTGTTTTTACCCTTAGTTTTTTTAAAAAAACTTCTATTGCTACTTCTGTATTGTTCCATGAAAAAGTGCTTATTCTCAGCCCATTTACAAAGACTCCAACTTTGTTTTATTGACAAAAAATTGGCTATTCTCCGAAGTTGGAGAGTCAGATAAATAGACAGAATGAAGGACTAAGCAGCCATTAAAGCCTACCATTTTTAAGCAGCTGTTGGGGACCATGTTCTCTTTGGACTGAATTCCTATGTAACAGTAACATTAACAGAGTTGAAAGGGACCTTGGAAATGACTACACACATGGTGACATGATCACACAAAACCCACCATTATGAATTTACTCCTCTACATTAGAAGCACGTAGGTAAGTTGTGGCAATTATGTTATCATACATAAATCTCATTTCAACACTATCCACAGGGCAATATCAAGTAGTATAAAATCTAATAGGCTTTTTCAGAGAAGCCCACAGGCTGCTGTGACCTGAAATAGAGACAACAAAGAAAAGACTTAGGTCAGCAATAGGGATAAAAAAAAATTATATTGGAAGTTTTCTGCCAACTCATAGATGGATGTATAGTACGTCAACTTAGTATCAGGAAAAATCCTTTCCAGATAGATTTGATAAAGTTGAATGATTAGTCAAAGAATTTGTCCAATCTCTATTCTAAACTTAATTTTCTTGCTACTATGGTGCACTAAATGAAAACTATGTAATATTTCTGTTATAAAAGACCAGCTAGTCAGGTTCAGGCAATCTACTAATAGAACTCACACTTGTCACTTAAAGATCGTACAAAGCACAATATTACACCCCCCCCCCAAATCATTCCTTTTCCCATTTGTTTGGGATTAAGTCCTTATAGTATTCAGAATTTTATTGAGATTCTACAAGACAAGTGATTAAAAAGTCATCATACCTATAATACAACAAGCCAACAAGCAGTTGTAAGATTTCCACCTCACACTTGAGGAGAGATGTGCAATGTTTCTTTTCTGTTTTCACCAAATTCTTTTCTGAAAGTTTTCCACTAGGCACTGAAATGTAAGTATTCAAAATACTCATTTGTGTTTTTATACAGTATTTTCCCCCTGTCCTCAATTAATGCATTTGTCAGCACATAAATAGTCCAAAGTCACTTACTGTGCATATATTGTTAAAGTAAATCATTCATCTAATTGCCAAAAGCTTTAATTGCTCTAAACTTCTAAAAAGAAAGCAAGAAAACTGCTGCTAACAGCAAACAAAATTCAGGCAGGCAGGTGGCAATCCCATTTGTGTTCCTTTCCAACTTTGCAGTGGCTTGGCTCACTGTGCCTATGGCCACACAACACTTTTAATTCTGATCATGGCACCAATCCAGGAATGTCGTTCTCCATCTGATTTAGATTTCCAGTCCTGTTCAGAGTAGTGCAGCTGTCATCAACAATCCTGGAACAAGCACATAGTAAATAAAATGGATCTGCCAGATTTCTTTCAATGTCTTTCAGCCTTTTGTCACTTCTCCTCTAATCCAAATAAAGGTCAATGGCCAAACTTTGTGCTCCTTATACCTTTTGAAAAGAAGGCTTCTTCTCTGCCTTTTCTCCCCATCTCACAGCACTGCAAAACTTTTTAATTTTTTTGAAATCTGATGAATTCTGAGGTACGCTAAGCTGTCCAGAGACTAAGCATGCTTGACATCTTTTTAAAAACACCCTCTGAAAGATCACTAAGGAGCATCTACAAGTTAGTTCAACTTAACTGTGCAAATCCTTAGCTTCACATAAGCTTTGTAGTCACTAAAATGTAATTAAGAATGACAGATTGTCCTAAAGTTGGATTGCCATGCTTCCACTCATGCAGGTGTTTATTGGATCACATATAAACAAAGGATCACTAAATCACAGAGCTGGAAGGCACCATTCAAATATTTCCAGCTTAAACATTTTCAATTTAATTAAACCAATGTACTTTTTTACTAGGGCTATAGACTATCTCATTTGTGCAAAGTCTAAATAAAGTCAGTTATTTTATGCATGCCAGTGCTGAATAAGATCAAGCTGGAAATTCCAACTTTAACATATAACTGATTCTTCTAAACAATTACTATATGTAGCAAGATGAACAGAAAAAAAAATCCTACAATAATTCTGTTTTCCAGGGAAAGGTGTCAGTGTACCCTTTTATTTTGTATAGATTTATTCAGAATAAAATAATCTGGGTAATTGGTTCCTCAATTCATTCTATATGTTTAAGACTAGAATTTAGAACTTTATCTAAACATGTATTGAAACAGTTTCAGAGGGCAAAAAAGTTGATTCTGATGTGCATTATAACAACTTTCAGAACTTTTAAAATGCAGTAGGCACTATCTAACTTCTGACAGATGTTCTGTAGTGAAATATAAACTCTGATTGTCTATTCGCAATTGACATTCTGACTTTCTGATCACTAGTTAGAAAAACAGCCAAAAGGCTATTGTGTAACAGCAAAAGTGTTTGTGTAATTTCTTGTCAACTATGCTTTCACACCTGTCCTGGAACATGCTGGATCTCTTCCAGTAGGCTAATAGTTAGGCTGGCTCCCAGGATGCCATGTAACTGCTAGCTAGGACAACTCAGCAAGTTACCTAGGTCATGCTCCCTAGGACTGAAAGAGATAGAGAAAAAAAAATGTTGAAATTGTTGTTTGTGAGCTTGCTAATGGGACTGAAAGCAATCTCCATCCAACCATACTGATTTATATCAGAGCACATTACAAATAATCATATCCCAGGACATTGACAGAGCAAGAACTTTGAAACACACCTTGGAAATAAGCTGGGGTATGGGATACTCTACATGGTCAAAGAAAAACATTGGTATTTTGTTTGTCTACTGTCAAAATAACAAACAAATGGAAATTGGCTCTCTCACCCAAAGGAGGAAACCATGAAGCTCACTGCATAATTTGGACAAGAGAAAGAGTAGCAAAATTAGAAAAAAAATTGATTTCACTACAAATAGGAATCCCTTTTGATGCACAATAGTCACAAAATATTTCGTAATGGCTTCTGAGCTTTTCTATAATATAATATTTAACTGAATATTTTTGGTTTTGTGTTAATTGTTTAATTGGCTTCAGGCCAGATTTACTGTGAACAAGCCAGAAAACCTGCATACACATGTACACACTAGAAATATATTTATTCTGAATTTTAATTCCACTCCTTACTACTAAATTAATACATTCCTCCATTTAATTTGTCCCTATTGAACTATCATAGTATTCTGAGCATTTTTCCATTAATAGCAAAAGGCCCTCCCTCCATCAGCCATCCCTTAGTAATATTTAGTGTAAAATACAGATAGCAATGGGAATTCAGATTCACTTAACAACTATGGAAGAAAAGGTTGTAAAATGAGGAAAACTCACTTAATAACTGCCTCACTTAGTAACTGAAGTTTTGGGCTCAATTATTATTATTATTTTTTAAACAAATTTTATTAATTTTTTAAAACAATACACAAACAAACAAAACATAGAATATAAGAACATAAGACATCTTTTCTGAGAGCTGCTTATTGAATTTTAACAAAACAAATAAAACATCTTATTTAAAAACAGCAGTTCCAGATTATCACATTTCCATACAAACACAATTTGATATGCATATTTATCTTATATATTCAACTTCATATCTTTTTCCAACTTCTATTTCTCCCTTTCCTATTCAATTATATTTCTTTTGTCTTGATTTCTATATCTTTTTATTCATTGTATACTTCCATCTGTCTTGTTTACAATTTCATTGTTCTCTTCCAACATTCTTCTAGAATTTTATTAATTCAAACATAGACAAACAAAACACAAAACATAAATACATTAAACTTCTTTTTGGAAAGCGGCTTAACCCCGGGTTACAACTTTTTATGCAGACATAAATCAAATTCATGCTCAGCTTATATACTATTTCATATCTTATTTAACATTCTGTATTTAATATATGTTTTCTCTCCTCTATTCACTCTCTTAATTCTATTTTATTTATTTCATCTCAATTAAAATCATTATACTTGCATCTTTTGTCCGTTCTTTTTCAATTATCTATTTATCTTTTCTTTCTAATACAATATTTCTCCTGTAATACTGGTTGAAGTATGACGCCTTTTTATCTTTCCCCTAAATTTAACACTTAAAATAATACATACTTTCCATACTGATTCTGCTTAGTACATTCTAAATACTACATTTTAGAATAATAATAAAAAAGAAAAAATATGCTTATAATATAGTAAAAACAATGTTCCATAGGAAATTAAACTCTATTGTTAAATCTTAAACATTTTATACATTCCCTTTAATGTATTGTTAACTCATATAATATTCCAATTTTCTAACTCTATTTCAAATACTAATATCTACAATACAGTCTTATGTACTTTTGCAGAATCTTTTTTAAAAATTGTATTTTACCCTTTGTCTCTAAAAAAGCCGTTTTTTAACATCTTGTTTTAAGCCTTTGTGACTTCTCTTCCCTTTTTCCCTTCTTTTCTTGTCGATTCTAGCATTTTTACCCCACCATTTCTCAATCTCCACTCTCTTAGTCTCCCCTCTCTGTTGTATTCCTCTTTTCTGTTGCTTTCTGACATTGTATCGATTTTTCACCTTATTTTTCCCTTTCTTGGTTGCTTTTTTAAGTTCTAAATTCTCCATTTTCTTTCCCCTCTTTCTCTTTTCTTCCTCAACTAAAATTATTTGTTCATTAAAGATGGCTTCTTCTTCTTCATCCCAGCTTTCTTGTTGTTGTAATTCCTGATAGGTAGAAATCGCCATTTCTAAAAAGTGAAAGATAGATCCAGAAGAGCCCTTGCCTTCTTGTTCCTCTTCTTATAACTTTTGGAATTCCATTTGCAATTCTTCAACAGATAATGCCATTATAAAAAAAAAATTTTTTTTAAACAACCCAAATGTTTTTAGTCTTTCAAGGAATAGTTTCCAAAAGTCACAAAGTCACAAAGCAATCCAAATCAGGACAAACTGTTTCATTTAGCACTTTCTTCTTTTTATATTTTCTCTTCCTGGGGTAAAATTCAGTTACACAGTTCCAAAATAATTTTTTAGAAGTCTTATTGCCATTTATTTCTGGTCTTATAAGCTCCAAGCCGTCTCCTCCAGTAAAATCTTAATATAAGTTCTTTACCTCTCCCTTCCCATTTATAGCAAAAAGATTTTAGTTTTTAATTCCAATGTTCAAAGATCTTTAATATCCCCTTGACTTTAATTTTCAAGTTTAGTTACCTTCTGTGCCAAAGCAGGTTTTTCGGATTTCCATCTGCTATTTCCGTAGGGAAGGAGAGTGAGAGAAAATAACTTCCCCTTTCTACTTTCTGCCGCTGCCTTTTACGATCTTCTTAGGAAACAATGTGTTGTTTAAGAAATTAAATTTCCAGGGTATTTAGAAGTTCCTTATTGTCCCGGTTCAGCCAAAAACTTTCACTTTCTCAGACTTCCTCCTGCACAATCTTGTCCAGCTGCAAGCTTCTTTGTGGCGGCCATTGCTGACCACCGCTCCACCGCCTTTGGAAAAGGGAGTTGTGCCGGCTGAGAAGCGGGGTTGCGATACTCCCGGACCCCTACCCGGATCTCCCCTGTCTTCAGTTACCTCTACGGCAGGGGTGGGCAAACTACGGCCCATGGGCCACAACCGGCCCATTGGTCTTTTTAATCCGGCCCGCCTCTGAAAAAAAAAAATCCCCTCTGAAAAAAAAATCGGGGCTGGCCAAAAGAGACCCCGTGCCGTGCACCAAAAAATCGCACACACAACACCAACGCTACACACCCTTCCTTTCCAGCCGGTCAGGTGTGGATCAGCTCCGGAGCTGGGCAGCCGCTTCCCTGGTGGCGGGGCCGAGGCCGCCACCTGGAGAACACCCACTGCTTTCCCTCGCCAGGGCTGGGCGTGGCATGTTGCCCTGCGCCGCGTGGCCCCGCCTGGCAGCATGCTTCTCGGCTGGTCTCCTCCTCCTTGGCCATACAGAACAAACCGCCAGAGAAGGAGACGACCCCCCGGCTGGTTGGGGTAAGCTTTCTGCACTGAAAGAGGCAGCTACTAATCTCCGGCTTTGCTCCGCTTCTCCAATGGTCCGGCACCACCCTGTTCTTCTTGTGCTGCAAAAGAGGCAGCTAATGATCTCCGGCTTCGCTCTGCTTCTCCAACATCTGGCGCTGCCCTGTTCTGTGTCAGGCCCAGCAAGTCCGAGCAGCCGGCGCATAGAACAGGGCGGCGCCAGATGTTGGAGAAGCAGAGCAGAGCCGGAGATCATTAGCCACCTCTTTCGCAGCACAAGAAGCCTCCCCCAACTGGCCAGCTGCTCTCCTCCTTCTCTGCCTGTTTGTTCTGTATGGCCGAGGAGACCAGCTGGCTGGTTGGGGGAAGCTTTCTGCCCCGAAAGAGGCAGCTACTAATCTCCGGCTTTGCTCCGCTTCTCCAATGGTCTGGCACCACCTTGTTCTATGCACCGGCTGCTCGGACTTGCTGGGCCTGACACATAGAACAGAGCATGCTGCAGGCATCTCATGACAAGCCCCAGGACATGTGGTCACCTGCTGGCTAGCTGGGCTGGAAGAGGCACGTTCTCCAGAAGGAAGAAAGCATGCTCTGGGAGGGCGGGTGCTGGGCAGGTGGGCAGATGTTCCGGGACCACTTATTGGTTGACTTTAAGAGTGCCCCCATGGAAGAAGCCGAGCAAACATAGTGGCGGCAGGGGTGACGGGGCATGTGTGTCCCTCCACAAGGAGTATGAAGGGAGGCAGACACCACACATCTCAGGAAAAAAGTAGGTGCCAAAGCCCTGGCTGTCACCTGGGAGGGGACCATGGAGGGACCCATCACATGCCCTTGTTGCCTCCCTTCATGCTCCTTGTGCATGCTGGGAGCACCTAACTGGAGCAAAAGAGAGCGAAGTTTAATGCTTTTTTCTGTTTATGTTTGATATGTACTGTTAACAAATGCAGTTTTTTATATGTATCATATCTTGTGCTGACCAGGCCCATCTGTCAAATTTTAAAAGTCAATGCGGCCCCCGAGCCAAAAAGTTTGCCCACCCCTGCTCTACGGGGTAACCATAGCCTCCAAATCCAGCTGGATCGGGGGCACTCCAGCAGCGAGCGCAGCAGGAACCGCGCACGATCGCAGATTCCTGCCGCCGCCGCAACCTAACAAACTGGAAGTCTGGGCTCAATTATTGTTGTAAGCTGAGGGCTATCTGTACTACAATATAGGTCCCCAAACCCCATCCATGGACCAGAAGTGGTCCACAGCATGGCAGGAACTGGGCTGCGCAAACAAGCGAAGCCCAATCCATGGGATGCAGGCAATACATGAAACCATGCCCCCTCTGGTCCACAGAAAAACTTCTTTCCACGGAACCAGTCCCTAATGCCCAAAAGATTAGGGCCCGCTGCTGTAATACACCTATGTGTGATATGTCTGAAAAAAACTGATGATCAATTAGAGCTAAAAGCTGTTGCATTGAACCCAATCTTAACAAATTTAATGAACAATGGAATAGATATATTTCAATATATATTTCAATATATTTCAAGCAAACAAATGTATGAGTTGTGGGGTACCATTGTTGTGATTCAGGGAACCAGTGATGTAGCCTGTATTTGCATGGTTGGATGTGTGTGAAGGTGTGCTGTAGGTGGGAACATTAAACTTCACTCAGCAGCAGGTCTCTCTCTCTCTTTGCCAAAGAATTCCAACTCCTTTAAAACTGTATGAATAAAAATCCTAGCTATCTCTGGAAAAGCCATCACTCAGAAATTTTGCTATACTAATATCCAAGCATACATACATTTTTTATGTTTAAACAATGATTCTGATACTTTGAAACTCTATGTATTGTCTAAAAAGGGAGCGTGCATGCACCAACGTGACTACCATTCCTGTCCTATTGCTTTTTTTATTCGTATCCATTTCATGTATTCATAACCATGCTTATATACTTATATCTGTTATCTAATACTTGCTTGACTAATACATAAATAAATAAATAATAAAATTAATGCATAATCTTTCTGAAGTTAACGTTTTTAGCATTAAAGCTTTACAGTATGACGGAGTACGGCGTTACAAATACTGATGCAATTGTTCATTCGAGGTAATTAGGGACCAGATAAACACTTTGTCATGGGAGCAATTAACAACTGAAACAAATGCCCGATGCTTTCAGAATCTATGCATACTGATGTGTTCTTAATACCCGAATTCTTATCGCACCATGCCACTTCTGCGCCCACCCAAATCTGCGGCTCAACCACGCAGCCGCCTGACATCGAACTAGCACAGAAAGCGCTTCCTGTTGAGCCTCCAACAATATGTACCTTGCGGTCACGTGCCCCATAGCCAAGATGGCGAAAGGCTTGTATTTAAACTACAACTCCCAAGATGTTCTGAGTAGCCAATGGCAGAAGAGCGAAGAGGTGGGGTTGGCCGGCGTCGCGGGCTGTTAGTGTGAGCAAGGTAAAGGTTGGGTGTCCCGCGCCCCTAGCCATTAGGAGGGTGGAGGGGGTGCCCCTCCCCCCATAGCCCCGGGGAAGTTCTCCCATCACCCCCTCATTGCAACGAGGTTCGCGGCAAGGAAGAAAAAGGTCCAGGTGAGGAGAAAACTTAGAGCATTAGTGGGACATCAGGGGGAAAGGGAAAAAAGACGTCGCGAGGCCGAACGGCAGCGAAGGGGGAGGGGCGGCGGAGCTCGGTTCCTTAAAGGGAAGGCTTTAAAGGGGCATGTCACAAAAGGGGATTTTCTTACCCCGACAGAATATTCGCTTGTTCCCAAGGCGGTCGGGTAGAGAAATGGAGAAGGCAATTTTAATTACAGGGCGCTTCTTCATCTTACAATATTTGAGGCAATAGGACGGGCTGTAATTGAGAGAATTAAGTGAATGTGGAATTCCTTCTCATCTAGCGGTTCATAAGAGATTCATCTTTGAGCCACCATTCTCCAACTTGGTGCCCTTAGGATGGACTACAACTCCTATCAGTGCCCAACCTGCATTGTGGTATCTGCTGGAGGATGCAGGCTGAAGCCCAACACCTCTAATAGGCTCCAAATTGGAGTTGGCGTACACTAAACTGCTAAAGCTGGATTTCAGTACATTTGACAGCAGCACCTCATTCCTGGTGCCCTTAGATTCTTCTGTGGAGGATGCCGAAACTGGGGGAGAAAAGAGTGGCTTGACCTCTTCACAGCGTTATGAGGCTGAACATTGCTTAAAGTAAAGTGGAATCTATGCAAAATTTCAAAAACGACGGGAGAGAGAAATTAAACTCAAAGGGAAAATAAACCCTCTACTCACCCTGTAGCCCTTTTTCTGAGCTTCAGTTACAATTGGCTTCTAAAGTATTACATGAATGCTGGGAAATGGGACACTGGTTAAAGATTTTACATCTTCAAGAATCATATTTTATCTCTCTCTCTCTCTCTGTGGGATACCTGTGAAGGTGGTGAGTCACAAGTCCTATTATATCTCACTTTTGGCCAAACTTGGAAAGGCAACTGGGGCTGAAATGCAGATCTGGAGTCATAATTTCCCTATTTTATAATAATACAATCTCTCTCCTACCCCCCTCTCCCTCCCCCCTCTTGCGCACACACAGAGCGGGAGAGGGAGAGAGAGAGAGACAGAGAGATTGAGATTTAAATTAATGGTTTATTATATAATTGGGAAAATGTGGCTCCAGATCTGCATTTCATCCGTCAATTGCCTTTCCAAGTTTGGCCAAAAGTGAGATATAATAGGAATTGTGACTCACCACCATCACTTTGGTAGTATGAAATTCTCATCCATAATCTGAACTCTGGCTGCAAAGCATCTAGATTTGCCTCATTCCAACTCCTTCAATTTATCATGACTGCTCAGCACTAGTAGCCAGCTCTTTGTTTCTTTTTAGTTGCCTACCAATTGCTACAGATGAACAAGAGTTCATATCTGAGTAGTAATATCCTTTCTTGTCAGTTTTCCTTCCCTCAGATCCCTCTTTCAGCTCTAGTATTCTAGTGCCAATTAAAATATTGCACCTATTATATTTGAATATATTATTTTTGTTGTTATATTAAACACAGTTCCTGTTATTTCAGCCTGATATTCAAGTTTCAGAGATTATTTATGCAATGTACATGTGGATTAGCATTATTTTAATCCATTAATGGGCTGTTAGAATATGTTACAGTGTAATATATTTAGAATAAGTATTATAAGGTTGAGGATAGAAAATACCAGCTCTTCAGGCTGTTGCTGTAGCTGTATACCAGGGGTCTTCAAACTTGACAGCTTTAAGATTTGTGGACTTCAACTCCCAGAATTCCTCCACCAGTCATGTTAGCTCAGGAATTCTGGGAGTTGAAGTCCACACATCTTAAACTTACCAAGTTTGAAGACACTTGCTATATACATTGGTGCAACTCCTAGGTTACATGGTAATTGTTTGGAAAAATAATCCCAGTGTTAATATGTATCTTTGCTTCTTAACAACCAGGGCTAGGAATATATGTTATCTCCTTTTCTGGTCTCTTGGTTCTTGCCAGAAGCAGAGGGCTTCCTTGGAAGATGATGGTAGACAACATCAGTTCCCTAAACTTTGATAGTACTGCTTATTTACCTTATTTAAATTCTGGGGCAAAGTACATGGAGTGGGGGAAGATCACATAGAGAAAATTTTGTTTATATCTCAGATGTACAATCTGTTTTTTGATAGATGCATGCAACATATTGAATTGCAGATCAATTAGTGACATATTTTTCTGAATAGGTCTTGCTAACATGTTAGTGAAATTGTGACAAACAGGTAATACTGATTCTCTCCAGCAGGTGAAATCTGTGGCAATGGTGGGAGCTCAGCAGATAGAGATGCAGGCAGCAGCAGTGCCCTCAGTGGTCCCAACAGGTGGAGGTCCTGGTGGTGGCGGTGGTGATCATCAATATGAATGCTTAGAATGCGGCAAGGTGTTCAAATGGTCATCACGGCTCATCCATCACCAGCGGACTCACACAGGCGAGCGGCCTTATAAGTGCTCAGAATGCCCCAAGGCTTTCAAAGGTTCATCAGCCTTGCTGTATCACCAGCGTGGACACACGGGTGAGCGACCATATAAGTGTAGTGAATGTGGCAAGGCCTTTAAACGGTCATCCTTGCTTCAGATCCATCAGAGTGTACATACTGGTCTGCGTGCTTTTAAATGTGCTCATTGTGGCCAAGCCTTTAAGTGGTCTTCCCATTACCAATATCACCTGCGCCAACATACTGGAGAACGCCCCTATCCCTGTCCAGCATGTGATAAGGCCTTTAAGAACTCTTCTAGCTTGCGACGGCACCGCCACACACATACAGGTGAACGTCCTTATGTCTGCCCTATGTGCGGCAAAGCTTTCACTCAATCCACAAACCTACGACAGCATCAGCGAGTGCACACTGGTGAGAGACCCTATCGATGCCAGGACTGTGGTAAAGCTTTCACGCACTCATCTAATCTAGCACTGCATTGCCGATCAGCACACACTGCCCGCTCTGTTCACACCTGTGTTATTTGTAGTAAAGCTTTTGCATCTGAAACCTATTTGCAGCAGCACTTGGAGACTCATGCTGACGTTGCACCTCCAGCACAACTCTTCTTAGAGGAGCCAACCACCACGGTAGAGATGATGTTTCGATGTAGTATGTGCCATCTTACTTTTTCCTTGCAAGAGCAACTGCTAAGTCACCAAGAAACACACTTGGCTCCAATAGAGCCATTGCCTCTGCCAGAAATGCCATCACCATCAGTGCAGGAGGAGACGGCACCTGTAGTATCTCCCACACCCTCAGTATCTTGCTCAGTGTGTGGTAAAACTTTCAAGAGCGCAGCAGGTTTAGCAAGGCATCAGAGTCAACATTCATCAGATCGCACATACACGTGTGTGGTATGTGAGCGTTCCTTCCCTGCACTGGCCAGCTTATTAGGCCACCAGCGTTCACATCCTGCAGCTGAACAGAGACTGGAGGAAGCTGAAGTGACCTGCCCGGCACAGGCTGAGCCAGTGCCTACAACCACTGCAACACCACCTCCACCACCTGAGCGACCGTATGTGTGTGGAGAATGTGGAAAATCATTCAAGGGCTCCTCGGGGCTACGTTATCACCTCCGTGATCACACAGGGGAGCGCCCCTATGCTTGTAGTGAGTGTGGGAAGGCCTTCAAGCGCTCTTCGCTGCTGCGCATTCACCAGCGGGTGCATACAGGGCTGCGTGCCTTCACCTGCCCTACCTGTGGCATGGCATTCAAATGGGCCTCTCATTACCAATACCACTTACGCCAGCATACTGGAGAGCGACCATATGCCTGTCAGGATTGTGGGAAAGCTTTTAAGAACACCTCATGCCTCCGTCGGCACCAACAGCTGCATACGGGGGAACGTCCCTTTGCCTGCCAGACTTGTGGCAAAGCTTTCACTCAGACATCCAACCTCCGGCAACATCAGCGGGTACACACTGGTGAAAGGCCCTATTGCTGCCGAGACTGTGGCAAGGCATTCACTCACTCATCCAACTTAGCACTGCACCGACGCACCCACTCCCGGGAACGTCCCTTCCAGTGTCCAGTTTGTTGCAAGGCTTTTGTCATGGCATCTTACCTACAGCGTCATTTGCGTACCCATAACAGCAGTGAGGCAGCCAATCATCCAACTGCCTTGTCTGCTGCCACCCAGGAGGTACAAATTGTGCCCAACATGCAGGCCACTCTGAATGTTGAGCTAAGTGGCAACCCATCCCCAGCTCTTTCTTCCAACAGTCAAAGTTTCTTGCTAGTGCAGACAGCTCAGGGCTTGCAGCTCATTCCCAGTGTGCAGCAGCAGCAGCAGCAGCAACCACTTCTGCAAAGTTCACCCCCCAAATTCATTCTTTTGCCTAGTCCACAGATGGTAACGACTACACCTGTTGCTTCAACAACTTTTACCCTGGTGCCAAATACTTCCACTACTCCAAACAAACCTGTCATACTCCGTCAAAGTAAGGGAAAGAAGCCTGTGTCAGTACCTACCCCCGCACCACCAGTATCTAGCAACCAGAATATTATTTTAATGCCCAGTACCACTGGAGCCAATATGCAGCCTATCCCTAATGTACAAATCCAGAGGTCACCAGGACTGCAGACCAATGGACAGAATGTTATGGTGCTCCAGAGTTTACCGGATCAGCAGTTGGGCACAGTGCAGATACAATATATACCACCCAATCCATTAACAAGTGCTATCCAGATTCAAACTCTGCCTCAGCAAGTCCAAAACCTTTCCACTGCTCAGCAAAGTGGCACACTACAAATACAGACTTTGCCTACTGCCCAGCAATCTGGCACAATTCAGATCCAGGCTGTTCCTAACCCTCCACAGACTGGTCTTGTACAGATTCATAGTCTGCCTCTATCCCAGAACACTGTGCAAATCCAGGGTCTGTCCAATTATCCACCTGCTGGCACAGTGCATTTCCAAACACTTCAGCCTTCACAAAAGATGAATACTGTGCAATTTCAGGCTGTAACATCTTCCCAGCAGGTTGGGACCCTGCAGTTCCAAAATCTCCAGTCTTCCCAACAAGTAAACTCTCTTCAGATCCAGACTTTGACATCTTGTCAGCAGGCCAACTCTCTTCAGATTCAAAATTTGCCTCAGTCAAATCAGTCTGTGAACAGTGTTGAAATCCAAGGCCTTGCTCCTTCCCAACAGTTGGATAGTGCAAATCAGATCCAGGGGCTTATATCTTCCCAGGAAGGACAGCAGCTTCAGCCTCCAGAAGAGATGGCCAGTGTCCAACTTCAGACTCTGGGCTCAGCTCAAGCAATGAATGAGATTGGAACTGCTCTGCCTAGTTCACATGAGCTCTCTGAAGTGGACCTCCACCAGGAATCCAACATGGAAGAAGAAAACCTGATTGTTGTACAGAATTCTCCAGAAGAGGAACTGCTAGGGCCTGGAGGTGAGGTTGAGAACCTCGAGGGTGTGCAAGACATGCATATTGAGACTCTGCAGACTGAAGAAGGGATTCAAAATGTATTAGTGTTGAGGAGGGCAAGTGGAGAACAAACCCGTTGGTGTGTTCAGGAAGTAGAAAACATCCAGACTTTGCAGGAACTGCCTGGCCTCCAATTACATAGTACTGATGGTAGCTCAGGGACTGGGCAGAATCTGTTTATTATCCGCAATGCACAGGGTGAACAGACTCTCCAAGTACTAGAGAGTTTACCGACCCTGCAGGTAGGTAGTCCAGATAACAGTCAAGCTGCTGTTGAAAGCAGCAGTCCTCAAATGGTGCAGCTTTTACAAAACCCAGTTGCATCCCAAGGACTGCCTTCCATTCAGATTGTGCAAACAGTACCAAACATGCAACTTGTTCACACCTTCTAAAAAACAGCTTCTTCACATACTTGAACTGGAGTATTGGTCAGAAACAGTCTGATTTCTACAAAAAATAAGAATGGGGCAAAGAATAAGAATACATATACTATATTTGAGGTGGTCAACTCACCAAGTGAGTTCTGCTTGGATTCCTCGGGACAAATTTTCTTAAAAAATAACTGGGTTCAACTACTTGCCTGCTAATCCAAAGCATGTCCTTTGTTATTCTTCTGATCCTATATGGCCTGCCACTGCTGCTTCTATCCCTGCAGCCACAATAATCCTTGTGCCATGCCTCTCAGCATCCATATATATTGCACACAAGAAACTGCCAGCCCAGTCTTTTATTTTTACCCAAATCCATCCCTATATTTAAAACATTTTGTTCTAGCAAAAAAAAAAAGCGCCTAATTCAGGACTTCTACCCATTCTGTTAAACAGGAATGTGATTAATGGGTAGCTGATCTCTCCATTTCGCTTCTGTGGACCATGGACCATACTGCTGTGAAATAGCATAATCCTTTTGTAAAATAGGAAATTGGGGTCATTCAGGCTTGAGATTGCTTGATACTTATAGGAGACAGTTTTATGAGCTATTATAGATTGCATCATACAGCTACAATGGCTTTTATGGCTAATTCCTTCTGTTTCTATTATAGCCCTTTTATCATGTGTAGAAGTACATTTCTTCCTGAGTGGACCTTTTAGTTCCTGGTGCTAACAAACACAACAGAATCAAAGATCCTTGTGAGCTGAAATGAAAATAAAAGACTGCTTTGATGCAGATCATTATTCAGTTGTATTTTTTTAGTGTACCATCATACATACGCTGGATCACATTTATGATGCAATAATGTTAAATATTTCTGCAATACTTTTTTTAGTAATTTTTAAATATTTTATCTGTTACTGAGCTGGGGTAAGAAAATGTAAGGTAGGTTCTTCAGGGTTTCTGCCTTTAACTTGAGAAGCAGGTTGTGCATTAAACTACTGACTTAAGGCCTTTTTTAAAACGTGAAAACTTGAAGGGACAAGAAAGGATTAGGTGGTATTATTACTCTTGGCTTTCCCAGTTTCATGCTGCTTTATTCAGACATAGTACATATTGAATATAGCTACTACTAAAGTAGCATAGATAAAAGGTAACAAAATGAAGTTTCGGTAACATTCTTGAACAATTCAACAGGTTATCAAGCCTCTTGATATTCTATAAGAAGAAAGTTGCCCACCTCTGGGTAGACAGTAGGCTTGCAAAGCATGCCAGACTAAAATGTGTATAGCTAGTTTGTGATTCAAAATACTGACAAGCCATTGATTTAATTCTAGCTGAGCAACCAAGGAATATTGGGACATAAACAGCCAGAACTGGGCCAGATGAATAAGTACTATATCTTGGTAACTGGGTTTATAAATTAAATTAAGTCATAATATGATTTATTTACACCTTAGCTGTGAAAATCTAGTATTCAGTTGAAATTCTGCTCTTCAAACTAAACTAATACCAAAAGCAAATATCAGTAAATACATACATTAAAATTAGTACTAAAAGTTTTTTTTAAAATCTAGAAAGAAAGCCCAACGAAGTTTTGGAGGTAGTACATTGCAGCAAGGCAGAAGATGGTCAGCTCTTTCACCAGAAAAGCAAGGCTTTAACAATCAATAATCATTTTCTACCTTGTCTGTAGAGTTTAATAGCTTCATAAAGGAAGCAGGAAATCCAGAAGCAAACATACCTTACACATAAATAATTTTTAAGGTTTATACTCACACTTTAAATGAGAGATTTCATCACAAGTGTCATATGAGGACTAGCTCATTCACATGAGGGCTGCAATACTGAGGTTTTTTTCATGAATTGATAGTATATTAAGAATATTGTGGTTTCCTATATTTTATTATTCTTGATATGATCCTGGAAAAATGCATCATTCATATTAAGGACAATAACATCCAGAAAACCCATCTCACAAAACCTGCCCTAATCCTATTTTTTTGCTGAGCAAAATGATCTTCAATTTCATTTAGTCTTTTTTCATTCATTTTTCTTCTTGCCAGGTAAGATCCTTAATACCCAATTAATTAGCAAAAGAGTTTTTATATTGATATCTTCTTGCTTTCAGAATTGCCAACCCTTGAAATATTTTTTTTTGTTATCAAGGTAGGGGCTACATATGAGGCAATTGTGGAGGTCTAGTGGGTCAGAAGTTTTTTTCCCCTTAACATAAAGGTTATTTACAGGCCTAAGCAGAACTCTATCCAACTATAAAAAGAGTATACAAAGCTGTTTGGAAGACATAACAAATGTAAGGCCTCTCTTCTCAACATTTCCCAAGGCCTAGGAGAATAAACAGGTTTTCTAAACACAATGGTGGAAGCTACATGACTGGAGAACCATCATTTCAGGGAGCAGGCATTGCAATAGAGAAGGCATACTTCCTGGTTCCCATAATATAACATTGTTTAATGCAGTGTTTCTTAAAACTCTTTTTCCCCTCAGGATCCCTTCTCACTTTTAAAAATTTCAGATAACCCAAAAGAGCTTTTGTTTGTATTGGTTATATTTATTGAAGCTTACCATGTTAAAAATAAAAATTGATAACTTTGCTACCACTTCATACAATTCCTTGATGAGATTTTAATATTGCTTTATTTTTCAGCATCGGCTGCTAGCAATTTTAGTTTTGAGAAGACTATATTTTAAAAAAGCATTGGTTTAAGGGCCCAAAGCACACCCTCTTTGCCTGATCATACAAGGCAAACTTTAAAGCTGATCACGCACCTTGTATCACAAGCAAGCTGACTGGTAACTTTCAGCTTGTGAAGCAATAGGGTCATATGAGTGTGATACAACATTACCAACACTACCTGTGCTGCCAGATTCTATACCAGCTGTTGCTCCAAGATGGTCTTCAACAGCAGACTTATATAAAGAATATTACAATAAGCTCTAATGAGAGAGGGAATGACCAGGACATGAAAGATGTCCCAATCCAGGAAAAGTCACAACTGGCATATTAACATATATATGCAAAAGTTCCCCTTGACCACAGGTATTACCTGCTCTTTCAGAGAAGGTTGCAGTCTTGAGAAGGCCTGCAAGATTGCACAAGCAGCTCAAATAGAGAAGTGCAAATCCACTGAAAGTTGATGGAACATCTCTAGAATCAGGGGACCAAGTAAGCACAGCCATTTGATTTTGCCAGGATTGAACTTGTTCCTTTGCTTCAGGCAATCAGTAGAACTTTGGGCATTTAACTCAGCAGGTCAAGGATCAAGACTTATGAAGGGAATGTGAGAGTGATCTGCCTGTGACATCTATCAGTGTCACCTCATTGATCATTAAGATTAATTTGGCTGATCTGGCTGGTTATACAGCTGTACTCTTTTTCACAGCTTTGTGTACATTCCCCTTGACGTTGCATGCTTGATGGGAGAGGATGACAATCCCAGAGCAGAGTGAGAGATCTTCAGTCAAGGATTTACAATAGCTGAATTCCCCTATTAGATTTATGAAGATATCCAGTAGTTTCATGTAGATGTTAAACAGAAGACAACTAGAAAATGTACTCTTCTAAGAACAAAAGCCCAGACCTTTGATGAGCCATAGAACCAGTCCTCTGTCCCCCTGTACTTACTTTCAAAAATCAGTTGTAAGACAAAATTTCCGCCCTCATGAGGTTTGGGGCATTAAGCAGGCATTTAAATGTCCCTGCAATGTAGATTAATGTGATACAAGGGTTTCATAGGCATAAGTAAGGTTTAGTAACTTACTAACTATAAGACTTATTTATCACAGCCTTGCTGCCATAGTTGCTATTCATGTTACCATTTTGGCACAATGAATATCTGCACATAAAATCAAACCCATGATAATCTACCGTTTGCCTTCATGCATTCAGTATTTCCTCTCACCACAGGAGGGTGCATTCAGACCACCTATGTACTACATATAATGGATCCTGAAAATAAATTAACATTTTCAACAAGTAATATGTACATTGTATAATGAAGTGCAGACCAATTAACTATATAGTGGTTTGGTACTGGGAACCATCTTTTATTTTCAGCAACAGCTTTTAAACCACACTATTTTCAGAACAGCACTGATTTTGTTTTCAGGATTCCATTTAATATTAACATTAGCCAGCTGGATGCAAAGAAACTTATAGATCAAATACTGCCACCATGAGTACTTCAAATTGGTACACATTTTGTTTGTATTTATGCTATCTTCCAAGAATTTAAGGTGGCTTAGATGTGTAAGCCCTTCATTTTGTCCCACAGCTGAATCCTATGGGGTTGGTTGAACTCAAAATTATTGGCACAGCCACATAGTAAATTTCTGTGGGTTTGGTAGTTTTTGAAACTGGGGCTTGGTAAACTTATTATATAATTGGTCAACATATTTAAATGTGCAGCCATCTATATTCCAAGACAGGGGGAAGGTAAAATTTAAACTTGTATAAAATCCATTTTTAAGTCAGGTTAAACTATTAGTGACATACATGACTGAATCTAGGCACTTTGGTGGCCATGATATTGAAGTGGGCTGTCACGGCCATTCCCCTGGAAGTTTTTTTTTATTTTTAAAAAACACTCCTCTGTTCTAATCTGCAATTCTAAGATTTCTTGGTATGGTAGTTTCCCCCATTAGTAGTAAAAATTCTGCATTCTACATAGATCAAGGCTAGTTTTCTAGCTTATGTATGTAATTTGAAGATTTAGGCAAAAAAAATCCCTATATCATGTCAATCCCAAAGCGCCCCCCCCCCCCCCGCCCCATGTACGAACAACATAGGCTCCTCAGGGTTTACAGTATTTTTAATACTGCCATAAGATCCAGATAGGCAAAGGGCTAATGTATCGTTTTCTATGTATAGATTTACCTGTTGAATTTGTCTGCCGGGATTTGCACATAGGTGTATCTGTTAAATTCCTGTCAGGATTTACGCATCCAAGTTTTTTTTGTTTTTTGTTTGTTATACCATACAGAAAAAGAAGGGGGATCAGTCATCCCCCCCCCCCCCCCCAAATTTCCTAAGTTTCCCGAAAAAGACCAAGGAAGAAAAAGAGCTGGGACATCTCTGCAACTCGACTGTCTTGGCATACCCAAAAGGCCACATTAGTCCCGCTTAGCAACAGTAACTAAGGGCTGCGTAGGAAGGGATAGAGGGTCGAAGAAGAAAGAACGTAGCGCATGCGCATATTCATTGGAGCCTTGAGTCTGGGATGAGATTGAATTATAGGGCCTTTGGGTCAGGACTGTTTCCTATCCACCCCTCCCGTGCTTTTTGACGAAAAAGTGGAGAATGTAACAGTTATTGGAATATCCCATGCGCCTGTCTGCAGGGGAGAAGTCAGCCGTAGCCTGCAAACTGGGTGAGTCCATTGGGAACCGAGGGGGGACCGTAAAAGGCTTAACTGTAGTGAGTATGCTAGATAAGGTGCTTCTATTTTTTGTGAAGGGGCGTGGCTGAGGTAGCCCTCTTATGAAAGGGAGTGGGCTAGGCAAAATACAAGTGTTGAAGTTTTCCTGTTATAAATTTTATGAAGAAAACTTTATTGCTCGTTTGCATCTGATAAGCTGTTTTTGAATTCACTCTAAGAAAAATGATATTTGCAGTAGATGCAAAGCACTAAAACCCATCATTTCCTCAACAATCCCTTTCAGAACAATCTTTTGAAGTAAGGGACCCTGTATAACAAAAGAAAACAACGGAAGCCAGAAAAGAGCAGGTGGCCCAAAGCTAACCAGTGATTGTTGTGTGGATGCTTGTGTGTTTTTAGAAGGTGGGGAATTTTGGCCGGTTTGGGGATTGTCGTGTGTGCATGTTGAGTCTGGTCTCTGGGTTTTATGTGAATTTCATTGTACGTATACTGTGTATATATGTACAATGACAATAAAGAATCTGAAATTCAAATAATCATGCATCATACTGTAAACCACAATGTGTTTTACCTTAAAGTACAGTTGGGCATCCATCTATTGTGCTGTAATCAACAATCTCTGGTTTAGTCCTGTGCTGTATCAGTCTGTGATTTTATAATGAAATAGTTTGTGCTAATTGTTCTGTTTCAGGGTGATACTTATCACAGTTTTGTTCATAATTTAAAGAAGGCTGTGCATTATAGTGTAAAGTAGGAACAATTCTGAAGATATGATGAGACGTTCACCAACTGCTTATGTATATTTACCAAATTATATTTATTTTATATGGTGGATGTGGTGGAGGTACCCTTTTATGGAGTAGTCAGAGTTTGCCTTCTCTTGGACTTTTGATGAGTATTTATTTCCCCATTTAAGTAAAAGATTCTCTCCTACTGTAGTCTGAATTATTTTTCAGTCAATGTTTGAATTTTTCCCCCTTTTGAATTATTTTTCAGTCAATGTTTGAATTTTTTTTCCTTTTAGATGTCAGTTGCTAACAATATGCCTACCTTGGACCAGGGACAGCTGTTAATCAGGGAAATGAGAGAGGATGAAGCCCCCATTGTTTTGGAACTTCTGAAGGTGAGATGGAGGAGAAACATGGATCTAGCTACATCAGTTCTCCTGCTTTTCTTTTGAGAAGTTTCTGTATGTTAATCCACGTTTAACATTTTTTTCAGAAGATATCTTCAACAAGTTTGTAACACTTGCATTTGGGCTCTGAAAGTTTCATGGGTTCAACTGTTATCAAATACATAGGAGAAGTCTAATTGTATTTTCGGGTCTAGTCTTGGAGAGTCCCAAATCTGTCCAGATTATTTTCTGGAATTTTTCAGTTAAAGTTTTAACAGCATAAAAATTTTCTTACAAGATATCATTCCTTTTGCTTTTGACTTTTTCTTGTAACATGAAAGTAATAGGTAGGATTTTAATTAGTGGGAAATGATTTGTGACAATATGATCATGTGGTTTTGAATGCTAGGAGAGAACCAAGAATATCTGAATTCATATCATTACTGTAGGATAAAGCTCACTGGTTGATTTTGAACAGGTCCAGGCAAGAGTATGATAGCTCTCTGAGACAGGGTAGAAACCGTTATGTATGCCTGATAATTTATCTTTCATTTGAGTTCCTCTAAACTCTGAGGACTTTTTATGTTCTTCTATTTCTCTCCTACCAGGATGGATTCAAGGATACAGAAAACCGCTTGATACTTTATGTGCTGACACGGCCTCTAGCCTTATTACTGATGGCAGTTGTGAGCAGTGGTCTACGCTTCTTCCTGAACTCCTTTGTAGTGGCCCTTGTGCTGCCAGTACTCCTCACTGTGGTGGCTCTGAAACTTCTACTATGGCGCTCACCAGACCTTAAACACTTGCATGCCTATTATAGTGCAAGCCATCGTGGGTTGTGGGTTGCTGTTTATGATGATGATGATGTGTGTGGCTGTGTGGCTTTGGAGCCTCTTAATAGAGAGCCACACACTGCTGAGCTCAAGCGATTGGCTGTCAGCCGATGGTACAGGCGCTCTGGTGTGGGTCGGTGCCTCCTTCATTTTCTAGAGGCACAGGCTCGTGCACGGGGCTTCAAATTACTGGTGGCCCAGGTCTCTGTGGTGGCTAAAGCTGCTGTTGGTCTCTTTGAGAACACTGGCTATAGTTTGAGTGGTGGGCGCCCATGGTTGGGTTACACTGTTCAACAAGAGTTCATCAAAGAACTTTAGAACTGCATCTACTAGTTTGGTACAAAGTTGTTAGACAAGATAGCATGTTTTTGAATGTTGTTGTTCTTGAACAAATAAAACACAGAGTTTCAGAAACAGGCTCTAGCTAAAACAAAGCATTCCAGTTTCTAAGCAGTAATTTACTATTAACAACGAAGTGTGGCTGCAAAGCAAATCAGGATAAAGGATTATTTGTGCCTTCTTCCCCGTCTGGTATAGTAATCAAACTGTCATTTGGGATTTCTGTTCCACATTATTCACTGATGTTAGAAACAGGAATTGAGGCTCATTTCCTGTGTGCTTTTTTGGGGTCAGAGTAACTTCAAATTTTTTACAAAGTTGAAGAGCAAATTCTAACAATTGAGAAAATTTGTGCACATGTGTGTTTGTGAATATGCATACATATACCCAGAGGATTGTGTGTGTATGTAGACGTGCACATATTTTCTCAATGTATATACACAACAAACACATGCACAAATTTTTTCACACACACGCACGCACACACACACACAGAATATACCAACAGTCAGGTCCCATAGAATATTACATAAATTACATAAATTGTTCAACTTGCTTGCCTTTTTTTCTAAACCCTTTCTTACTTGAGGCATGACTTTTGAACACTCCTAAATATTGTAAAATTTTCCTTGGGAGGAAAAAACTGAAACATAGAGATTGGCTTATAGGGCCTGATGTTTGCAACATCCTTTGTATATATATATATATGCTTCTCTATGAATTCACTTCATATAACAGAAGGTCATCAGAAAATTATTGTTCAAGTAGCCTTTCAGAATACATAGATGAGGAATTTATATGACAAATTCATATCTCACCTGCCTGAATGCATAGGGCTTGTCTGGCTTTTACTAGGTTATTGTGTATTTTCTTTGCAAATTATTGATCAGGAGAGTAAATTCCCAGCAGTTCAGTTTCTTACATGAGTTAAGGAAATATGTTAAGCATTTTGTAGTCCCTTGATGCCATACAACAATGATAAATCTAATCATTTGCATTCACTACTTAATGTATTTTCATTCATTCCCTCTCTTCTGTCAGCTGGTAGTGAATTTATGGCCAAGTTTTCTAAATCTGTATTTGCATGTTTAGGTTGGAATATATTCTCTGACCCTAGTTCTTAGGGTCAGAGAAATTAAGTGGTGCATTCTCTAGCCAATTAAAGTTTCACTTTTATTTTATAAATTCAGTAAAATTGATTTAAGAAAAGAGAAACATTTTTAAGATGAGATTTTAGAAGTTCTTTTATACATTCTGATAAAATATATTTCAGCTATATTGGGGGAATTGAACATGATCCCTGTAGTTCAGATTAGTTTAAATTGTGCACATAAAATGGTTGAACTACTATAGGATGAGGATGTGAATAGTATTGTTGGAAATCATGAATCTAAGAGCATAGAGGTATGCTCCTGTCATGGAAACTAGTTTAAATCATATATGTTCATATAATTTGAGTTTTCACAGAATTTGGAGATAATAAAAACTGGCTTGAGGTCATTTTTTAAAATGATACGTGTTAAACATATGTAATTCATGTTGCATATCCCTTCTTCATCTAGTGTCTTTTGAAGAAAAACTGGTGAGTGGAATTTTATACGTAGAAATGTAACTGGATAAGAAACACAGTATCGGACACAAAAGGATTAAGAGAACACACATTTGAATAGTCTTTAAAAGCTTATTTTTTCTTAGGACAAGCTAATAAATGTTCTGGCATTCATGTGCATGTAACATAGTTCAGTGCACAAATTAGCAAACAACCCAGACTCAGTTTGGTTCTACATTGTCATTTTTCTGACACTCAAGCTGGGTTGACTACCAATCTATTTAGGGCTTTATTAGCCTAGGCAGGAAGTTGATTTTAGAAATTCTTGCCTATATTCTGGTTCACAAATGTATCTTCCTCCAGATGTTTTAACCAAAAGAATTCAAAAAATGAATGAATCATTGTCTGTACCCAACTTCCATCATACTGAACTAGATTTCCAAACTCATTAGATATACATCACAAAAGTATTCAGTGGAATGAAAATTTTTTATGATCAATCCAAATGCTTTGTATATACATTTTATTTTCTTTTTTCTTGCTAGATTTTTTCCTGCAGGTGCAGTCTGCATTTTTATGATCAATATTGATCTGTTGGTTTCAAGAAAAGTTAACTGGCTTGCCGTCTGAGCCTGACATCATGGGCTAAGGGAGACTGACTGGTTCAAAGTCACTTAGGCCAGCTTTCATGCCTAAAGCAGAACTATAATTCAGAGTCTCCTGGTTTCTAATCAGGAGCTTTAACCATCGGCTCAAACTGATTCTGCACATACACACTCAGTGAAATATTGTGACTGGGGGTAGAGGTGATGTCTTTTAATTTGAAGTACCCCATCATTAGGAATGCAGCGTACAAAGATGTGTTACATCTGTGACAGCCAAGTTATTGGAAACTGAGTTATAGTTGTTGGGATCAACATGTCTTGCCTTTATTACGGTAGTGACTTAAGGGGTGGCAATTTATTTTTTATAATAGGAGAAAAACATCAAACCTATTCACCATGTTAGGAAACATACAGAGATCAAGAGAAAAAGTCAGATATAAGAATACTAGACATGGATCCTCTTACCCAATATTTCTATATACTTGGTTTTCCCTTTATGCTCTAACCAGATGCTCTGTTCTCATTGGAATCTACTTTGTACTGATGGAAATTTTGCCTTTTAAAAATATTGATAAACTCTTAACTCTCGCTAGTCCCCAATTCTCACCCCATAAATCCACGTGGGAGTTAGCAACAACTGTGGAATCTTCTATTTTCATTATTTCTCATTCTATCTAGTCTGCTTTAATTTGATGCACTATATTTTTAATGCTAGTCCTCACTATATTTTTGAAAAGGCTTGTCTGTATTTTTGATAGATGTGAATAAAAGTCAGGTATAATGTTGCAGAAATGTGATTTGTGAATTACTGAGAGTAACTTGCTTACAAATTGCTTACATGCTGATTCAGGATCAAGTCCAAACAAAAATCTTAAAGGATAAATAGAAATTGGGTTCAGAGGCAAAGCTGATTAAGATATGAGAGTCCAAAGATTTAATATCTTTCTCTTTAAGTTTTAGTACAATAGTAATATTGTTTGTGAATATTCCATGCCAAATTTTGCCCTTACACACTGCATAGAGTCATCAAGCACTCTGAAATTGTCATGGAAAAAAACCCCAGTGTTGTTCTGTTTTCTAGTACAAGGCAATCCTTGACTTATGCCTATTCATTTAGTGATCATTCAAGTTTATGTCAGTGCAGAAAAAAAATTCAAACAGACCTTGTACTTATAACCACTGCAACATCCCTGAGTTCATGTGATCATGATTTGGACACTTGGCAATCATCACACCATTTATGATGATTATCTATTCCATGGTCACATGATCACTATTGGTGACCTTTCCAGTCGACTTTCTCAATGGAGAAGCCAGCAGGAAAGGTAATGAGTACAACCACTGTAATTTGCTTAAAAAATGTAATAAAATCAGGTTTGGTCACATGATGCTTTGCTTAATGATTGCATCATTTAACTTTACAGTTCCTATTGTTGCTGTAGGTTGAGAACTACTGATGGTGAATAACGCTTCCGGCTGAAAAAGGATGGTTCACTATTTGACAGAACAGAATTGAACATGCCCATCCTAGGTATGATTGTGGAAAAGTGTCTTCTTTTCTCTCAAAGAAAAGTGGGCTGAAAAGATGTAACATGGTTGTCCCAATAGAATTATGTACAAGGCAGAGCTACTTAATGTGAGTATTGCTACTGTACAAGATATTACTCTGTGTTAATGTGATAGGAATTTAGGGGCAAGTTCCCAAGTTAGGGGTGTTAAGAAAATATATTCTCCTAATGGAAGAATGGGGAATGGAAGAAAGTATGAATTTCCTTCAGCCATGAACATTTCACATCTGAAAGTCATGATCAACTAGACGGAGAAATCCTGATAATGATGGTAATTTTGCTAACTTCTTTTTAGATTCTTGTAGGTTGACACTAGTGTAGAAAATATATTTCAAAAATATAATGTCATTATATAATAATTTATAATAATTTAATTGGAGTGACAAGCCACTTCATGGTTATCTGAAAAATCATCAAGGGCATTTTCTTAGATTTGAAAAGATTAAGCCAAGGCAGTTTTGTTTATTTAGAAGAAGTTTTGTCACCAAATGGTGAATGTTGTACAATTCTGGCTCTGATTGCTTAGTACTGTATAAAAGCTTTCCATTTTATCCAGAAACACTTACCTCATATGTCCTGCAGCTAAAACTTGACTTTTAAAAATAAGGTTCAAAGAGGCAAGGTAATAATTATGTTGAGAATCCATGTCTGTTTTTGCCAATAAAATGCTGAAAGAACCTAGCAACAGTACTGTTGTCTGAATTTTACTGGCCCCATTTTTCTTTAACCATCTCTTCTTTTAGTCACCAGCCACTCTTCTAAATTAGTCTGGGATGTTGAACTATATAATGCTGTATTACCATGACTACTGACTGTTTGGCTAGAACTCTGGAATTGTTCCAATTGCTGGACATTTCAGGTATTGGTATGCTGCAAATTGGAGACAGTATGGGTTTTAGAGTGGACCCCGAACATTATTAACACAATTAACAGGCATTCATTATGTTTGAAGTAAAATGTTGATTTACGAAAAAATATGTAGATCTTTTAAATTAATGTGCTGAGACAGAGAGTTCATTTGTCTCTTAAATATCAACACTCATTTCAATAATAATAAGCCAGGTAATGGACAGAGATAGGAATTGTTTGAGGAAACTTCCCATTTGCCATAGAGGTGAAAAGTGGTACAATAAAATAAATCAAGTAAACTATAGTTATCTCGTTAAAGTATGAACTAACAAAATTATAGTCAAATGATTGTTTAATAATGATATCAGGCTATATAATTGTTGATTGATAATATGAGTTATTATGTAATATAACTACAATGGAGACTATGAAATGGATGCACAAAAAAAGTGGTAAACCAACCGACACACTGTCTGTAAACTCATGAAGAAAAGGATGATGTTTTTATGTTTTATGTGTTTTTGTTTGTAGTTAAAATTAATAAAACTGTTTTAAAAAAAAAGAGAAAAGTGGTACAGAGAGATGATTTAATATCCACTATTTATGTATACTTATTTTAAAGGTGAAAAGCTAAGGAAATACCTAGGTGCCCAATGGTAATAGTTATAAAATTAGATAATGAAAGCTAGTTTACATGGATATAGCAGATTGTACATATAACTGTCCAAACTCCTCTCCCACCAATTTGTAGCAAAAAAAGGGAAATTACTTTTAATTCTTAATTGAACTCAATCTATTTCCTATGGATTGGACTGCCATTTGTCAGAAATCGTGTAGGGTTCCCCATTTGGGCAGGAGGTTGGACTAAATGACTTATAAGGTCCCTTCCAATTCTGATTATCTGTTAATCTGTTAATCTATTTTTATCTTACAGTGACATTAATTAATTATCATTAATTATTAGGTAATTATCATAAGTAATTTGTGTCATATACAGTTAGACGTTGGTACACTACCTTGTGAATATCTTGATCTATGTATTAAATAACCTTCCCTTCACAAAGAAGCCCAGGATGGTATACTGTATATGCCATAATAAAAAATACAGTTAAAAAGAAGAACATAAAATAGCAATAGTAATAGCACTTAGGCTTATATATTGCTCTACAGAGTTGTACAGCACTCTTTGAGCAGTTTACAATGTCAGCATATTCTGGGTCTTTATTTTACCAACCTGAGAAGAATTTGCAGGCTGAGTCAATCTTGAGCCCATCAGGATCTAATTCTAGACTGTAGAATTAGCCTGCAGTACTGCATTCCAAGCATTTGCACCACCAGGGCTCCTTAAAAGAGACAAACATTATGAAACCAATCATTAAATAAAAGAACTTGACTTAAAAAAATGGTATCAGAAAAATGTACAGGTAATCATAGGCTTATGACCACAACTGGGACTGGAAAACTCATCATTAATTAATGTAATAAAATGAGACATCATCTAACTGTAGTTTATTTCCCTGCTGGCTTTCCCATTGACTTTACTTGTTAGAAGCTGTCCCGGAAGAATGCAACTGGCAATTACATGACTCTGGAACACTGCATGGAAAAAGCATTATATCCCACTGTTAAAAACCCCAATGCTGTGAAAAATAATGAGTGGACATCTTGGAAAGATTGTGTCTTTCTGGCCAGGATTCACATATATAAGTGAATTGAAAGCAGTGTTTCAGGACAAATGATGGTTTTAAAAAATGTTTGAAAGGAGCAAGCTATATACATTAGTATAATTGCTACATAATCAACATGAGTTTTAAAGTTTTCCATTGGCAGATACAGCAATCCAGCTAAGGTCTCTGTTAAGTGGCTCTCTTGAAAAGTCTTAGAGAAATGTCTCAAATGTGGCTCTCACACCAGGCTTAGTCTTGTGGGAATTTCTCCTCCTTGGTCTGGTTCTCTTCTTCCCAGGCTGCAGATTGGAAGTTATATGACCCAGGGCAAGGCAGGGGTGTTTCCTACTTTCCTTTCTGTCTGGCTGACTCACAGCCTGGGTCTTCAGTCTTTACTGCTTCTGATTTGCCTTTGCAATTAGGCAACTCACCGATCCTGCCATTCACACCATGCAGTCCTCTTTGTCCTTTCTGGGTGAGTAGTGTCTCCTTTACTATTGCTACCCTTATTTTCCTTGGGGGAGCAAACTGGCCCTTTGGGAGTGGCTTAATATTTCTACCAGCAAGCCTATGATTCCCATCAGAGTTATGGGAAAGAATGTACTAGTGGAGATGTGGTTGCATAGGTTTGATCTGCTGTAGGAGGAAATGACTTTTTGTGACAGTAACAGAGATGAATCCTCATGGATCAATGCAAAAGTGTCATCAAGATTTCAGTCAGGAAATACAAATAATATTTTTATTTTAAATCAGTGCTTTCATCTATCTTCTAGTCTCAAGTAAACATTGCTGAAGACTTATGCTACATTTTGCATTCATTTATTCTACAATAGCTGCTTCAGGTTTGTGAGGTTAATGAGTTATAATAAATTGATTTTGATTTATTTTAAACACAAATCACTTAATAGTGGCTTTCCTTAATGTATTTTAAAGCTGTTTTACAACAGTTTATAAAGCAGATTACATGATGAGAGAATGGAAAAACAACATTTTTGGTCCATTTAGTTATTCATGCATAAGAATACCCCCCCTCCCTGCAGTATTGATTCTAGAAAAGATTAAAATGTCAAGAGCTCACAGGCACCTAAGTAAATTTTAATAAAAACATTCCTGCCATCTCCTCAGCAAAAGATGGCAGAAATCTATTATGTACTTGTTCCAAAAATTGCAGGTAGTCCTTGATTTACAATCCAAATTGAGTCCAAAATTTGTGTTGCTTAGCAAAGAAAATTGTTAAATGAATTTTGTCGCATTTTACAATTTTTCTTGCCACAGCTATTAAGTGAATTACTGCAGTTAAGTTAGTAATGTCTGTTAAGTGAATCTGGCTTCCCCATTGACTTTGCATGTCAGAAGTTTACAAAAAGTAGTCATATGATCCCTGGATACTGTAACCATCATAAATGTATGCCAAGTATCTGAATTTTAATCAGGTGATCACAGGGTTGCTACAATGGTTGTATGTGTGAAAACAGTCATAAGTCACTTTTTTCATTGCCATTGTAACTTCAAATTGTCACTAAATGAATGGTTGTAAGTAGAGAACTACCTGTACATAAAGGAGAACACACACATGTAGATAGTTGTGCTGCATTTTCTTTTAAAAATATCCATCTTAAATCTTCTGTTTGAGAAAGGACAGCACTTGGCTTTTGCAGATATGTCTCATCTATTGAGACAGTAAAGCTTTATAGGTAGTTGTCAACTTACAGTCATAATGGAGCCTGCCCATTATGGTTA